ACTTAAAGAATACTCTAGAGGTTAGCGTAATTACTTTAAAAAATTATATATTATAGTTATAGAATTATAGTATAGAACTATACTATAGTTACATAACTACTTATCTATAAGTAAGATAACGCTAGACTTATATAAGGCGCTTATTAATAAGTATAAGTAGTTAAGCTAATAATTAGTAAGATATATTATTACTTACTTATAATTACTTATACACTTATCTATAAGTATAACTCTTATTAAGTATATAGCTTAGGTACTAAACTCTTATAGCTTAGTATGTTTAACTTTATATAAGACTCTAGTATTTAATCTAAGAATTATACTTCTTTCTTAATCTCTTATAATATTATATTATTCTACTAAATATACTATTATACTCTTATACTATTACATTAATCTTCTAATTATGCTAGTATACTAACCTATTCTACCTTACTTACTTACTCTCTAAGAACTAACTCTTAGATTATCTTAGAATAACCTTTACACTTCTCTCTATTCTTAATATACTTATACTAAGACTAGACTCTAGATAGAGTAAGAGCTAGAAGAATCTTTGCGCATTTATTATAATAAAGAGAGCTTATTTTACTATAATAAATCTTAACATAGTATAGCTAAGGTAGATAATATTACGTAGCTACTCTACTTAAGTAGACTATAATCTAAGTCTTTAATAAGGTAGAGTCTTAAAAGTAAGTTCTATTACTACTATACTTATAACTAGCTAATATACACTAGATACTTTACTCTTATCTCTAAGATTCTTACTACTAGATTTTATATAACCTCTACTACTATTAAGATAAAATTTTGTAAGAGTCTATTATAATATTTAAAATATTAGCTAAAATAATCTAAAAGTATACTCTATGCTAGAAAGTAATTATATCTATAGAAAAGTAGAAGAATTATTAAGAGTATTATTAAAACTAAGAGCTTCTCTCTATATATATAAACTTATCTAGATACTAATATATATATATCTTTATATATATAGTGCTAGCTATACTTTAGTATATTCTACTAGATAGATTACAATCTATATAGTAGTAGTAGTATTCTATAACGTATTATACTATTTTTACTTTATACTATTCTTATTAAATAACTAATACTAGATTATTAAGAGCTTTATATCTATATTAGCTTTATTTATATTAGTATAGACTTTAAATAATTAATAAAGGTTAATAACCTTATATCTAAAAATAACGTTTTATTTCTTTACCTAGATATTATTACGCTCTTATATAATATAACTAAGAGCCTTACTATCTAAGAGTGTACTTCTCTACTATAGAACTAAGGCGCTATCTTTATAGAAATTAGTATCTTAGAAGAGTTATAATCTTATATTTAATAAAGATTCTAGTAGCTATAAAGAGATAGAGTTATATACTTTCTTAATAGAGGTAGTAGTGTATTATATAAAAGAGCTAACGCTATACTAAAAAATAGTAGTATATATCTAATCTAAATAGCTTATATCTTTATACTTAAAGACTATATAAAAAGTAGTATTAAAGTTACACTTATAGTCTACGTAGTTAATAAGAGTAATCTTAAATAGTATAGTTACTCTATTCTTAATACCTACTAGCTACCTCTTAGTATCTATAGCCTACGTGTTATCTTTAATATATTTATATAGCTTTAATAGTAACTTCTAGTACTTTATAGTAGTTAGAGGTTATATCTTTAGATTTAGAACTTTATAATTAGCTTTAAAATAACTTTTATCTATAGTACTTAATCTAAGAATACACTTAACCTACGTCTTATATAGCCTATAAAAAGGTAAGTTATTCTAGTAGAGTATAATATATTTATAAGATATTCTATAGCTTAGTATACTATTAACTATATTATTTATATTATCTCTATTAATACTAAACTAAGGCTAGCCTTATATTAGAAACTTATCTAGATAAAGTATAGTATAAGAGATAAGTAGTTTACGTCTAGAATTAAATAACACTTCTATACTTAGTTCTTATATATACTTTATAATAAAGCGTAACTTTATAAAGCGCTCTTTACCTTTAGTATTAAATATAGCTAATCTATATTTAGTTAGCTTATAAGTAGCTATAGATAAGATAGCTAAGAAGTTCTTTTACTCTTTTTAGAGACGCTAAGTTAAGTACTATAAGTTTATAATTATATAAGAGACTAAAAACTCTATATTATTACTATAGTTTATATTAATAGATTTCTTCTAGCTAGTATACTTTCTTTTATATAGTACTAGTAAGAGTAATATAGCGTCTTAAATATATAAGACTAGATAGAACTTAAACTTCTTCTATAGTAGTTCTCTAAGTTTATTATTATTCTATATTTAGAGCGCTATCTCTTTACTCTTATAATCTACGTTAGATATTCTAAATATAGTAGTAAGAGTTCTAATAAGTAATATATCTAGTAGTAAAATAGTTTTAAAGCTATTCTTATACGTAAGAAATATACTATACGTAACTAGTATATACTTAACTAACTTTATTTTTCTACCTTTAGAGGCTTAGTAACTATAGATAGTAATATAAGTTCTAGTTTAGTTAAACCTAATTAGCAGAACTTATACTAGCTTAAAGAAGAATAAACGTATTAGCTATTAGTCTATAATAAGATAGCTTTATATACTAGATTATATACTATTTTATATAAGAGTATTAATTAGTATACTATATAAGTAGCTATATCTTCTCTTACTTACTCTATATAACCTTTATTTACACTTCTCTTAGTTTTAGGTATAGTATAAGATTCTACATCTTTTTATTCTCTATAAGTATAACTAGAATATATCTATATATTACTAAGTAGAACTATGTTACTAAGTATTTAATATAAATTATCTAAGACTTTAGCTACGCTTTATATACTTATTAAAGCTATTATAGCGTTCTACTTATACGTTTTAGAGTTAAGATAACTTATTATAATATTCTTAATAGCTTATAGCGTTTACTTCTATAGAGTAACTATATTATAGATAATATCTTCTATATATCTTAGCTCTAGGCTATACTTTTTAAATATTCTTTTAGTTATCTCTTCTAAGCTTCTTATATAGTTATAGATAGTAGTTATACTTATACTTAGAGTCTTTAAAATTCTATATTCTAGAAAGAGGTTATTATTACGCTTATTATTAATAAGATTAGTGCAGAGAATAGAATATAATAAGAATTATTTTATTATATAGTAATCTAAGACTAACTAGCTAAATTTATTAGTAGTAGTAAAAACTATTTTAATTAATAGTAAGTATATAGAAATAGTATATATACTTAGTATTATAGATAGTAGATAAGTTTAAGAGGTAAAAGAAAAGTAAGAAGTAAATATTTACTAAGTAAAAATAGTTATTACTCTATGTAAATATACTTATATTATATATTTAATATTAAGACGTTTACTTACTAAGGTCTAGCTCTATATTTATTAACGCTGCGCTTCTACTATAATATACTTTTAGTATTTACGTACCTCTACTTTATAGTAAACGTACTATATCTAATATTTTACTACTTTCTAAACTCTATAAGCTATAATAAAAATTAGTATTATAGCTAATATCTCTTAGTATTATAAGCTCTAAGTAACTTAATAATTACACGCGCACTACTAGTATACCTAGAATAAGTACTACTCTATATTTATCTCTTTTTATAAAAGCCTTAACTAATCTACTATTACTTACTCTTACTAGTACTCTAACGCTATAGATATAGTTAAGTCTCTACTAGCTAATAGTACGTAAAACTCTTTATACTAAAAGCTACGCGTAGGCTATCTACTACTAAACTTAGTCTTTTACTAGCGCTATACTAAACTATAATATAGTAAGAAGAAATACGTATAAAGCCTTAACTTAATATATAGTAAGTACTACTACTAGTAGAAGTAAACTATAATTAAAATTCTATAAAGAGAAATTCTTAATAAGACTAATATAGCGCAAAAGTTTATAATAAAGAACCTCTACTAATAGTATTATAATTCTCTCTTTAGCTCTAGAGCCTATACTAATATACTAAAATACTAGCGCTATATTATCTTATATAAGTTTATTACTAATTAACTAGTTTAGACTAAAAAATATAACCTCTAGCTAATCTCTAATAGTAATAGTATTAAGAATATACTACTTAAAGTATTATAGTATTAAAGTTAAGAGTAAAAGAGTTTAGAGTTTAAGAGCTAGTATTAGCTTTAATATATAAGGCTATTAATTATTATACTTAATAATAATATCTAGCTTAACGTTAAAGACTTAATTAAACTAAATAGTAGTAGCGCAGCCTACGTACTTATACTAATAGATATTAATCTCTTAAATATTAGTTTTAGAAAGCTCTAAGAACTACTTTCTAGTACTAAAAAGCTTAACTACTTATTATTAATAAATACTCTTAGGTACCTATAACTTAGTAGCGCTTACCTAGTACTAATTATAAATAATAAGTCTTTAGTAAACGCACTGCGTAACTATTAAGTACTAATAGAAAATTATATTAATATATATTACGTGCTTAAAGATAAGATAGAGTTAATCTACGTTCTATCTACAGGTACTAGAGAGTTAAGCGTCTTGCCAAGGGCTCAGAACATAGATAGGAGGAGGCGGCGATAACAGGAGGTGCGGTTCGTTCTGGTTGGATCGTGGATAGGTTGGAAGAGTACATGCGTACTATGGATCAGACGTGTGATCTTTGAATAGGCTGGATTACTTAGAAGTCATGCAACTCGAACGAATCTTGTAGTTGCGTTGATTGCGGTGGTGGAGCGTTGGTGTCTGATAGCCGGCGATTGTTATGCCGCTGGACCCTTGCTTAGGCAGAGGTTAGCTCCAAACGACGTAACCTGCCGCTCCAACAATCACTTGCAGACCACACACGGCTGCCTAGATATTGCAAGTAGCGGTCGACATCTACACCCAGTTCCAAGACGCTTTCTCCGTCGATTCCCCCTACACTATCCCCTCACGCGCCATGGCTGAGCCAAATCCTGCCCCGCACAGCGAGCGCGACCCCGCAGCGGCGACCGACGCGAACGAAACACGCGACGAAGACAACGACGACCACAAGCCACGCGACAGCAACGGCTGGGACGGGAAGTTGCGGATAGACAAGATGAGCATTGCCGACGAACCACGCGATCCCCATGCGCAGGTGGTGAGCGACCCAGAGGTATCAGACGACGAGGGTCCGCCTCCCGAGCAGCTGGCTGCAGACGAGGATTTGCTGGACGATACACCGGAAGACGAGGACGACATAGAGATCGTGCACTCCAAAGTCTCGGACATGTCGGCGTTACGGTTGGAGAGGTTCAAGCAGATGAAGGTATGCTATGCTGTGGGTTGTAGATGAGTTTGCCTAACCTCCCAGCGTCTCTGCCTACGCCAAAACCGCATAGAAAGCATCGCGATACCCGACCAAGTCGCGCCGACTCTCACAGAAGTCGACCTCTACGACAACCTCATAGCGCACATCAAAGGCCTCGATGCCTTCACCGAACTCACCTCGCTCGACCTCTCCTTCAACAAGATCAAGCACATCAAACGCCTGAACCATATGACAAAGCTCAAGGATCTGTACTTTGTGCAGAACAAGATCAGCAAGATAGAAAACCTAGACGGGCTTTCCAACCTGCGGCAGATCGAGCTGGGCGCGAACAGGGTACGCGAGATTGAAGGACTGGATACCTTGACGGGCTTGGAAGAGCTGTGGCTGGGCAAGAATAAGATCACCGAGATAAAGGGCCTAGACACCCTCACCAATCTCAAGATTCTCAGCATTCAGTCGAATCGCCTGCGCTCGATAACGGGTCTGGAGAAGCTCGTCAACCTCGAAGAACTGCACATCTCGCACAACCTCCTCACAGAACTGTCAGGTCTGGAGAACAACGTCAACCTAAACGTCATCGACATCAGCGCGAATCCGATCGAACATCTATCGGGACTGAACGGTCTCAAGCACCTCACGGAGTTCTGGGCAAGTAACTGCAAGTTGAGCGACTTTGGAGAAGTCGAGAAGGAGTTGAGAGATAAGGAGGAGCTGGAGACGGTCTACTTCGAGGGCAACCCTCTTCAACGGGCACAACCGGCGCTATACAGAAACAAGATTCGGTTAGCGTTACCCCAGGTTGTACAGATCGATGCCAGTAAGTCCATACCCCCCAACATCTCAGGACACACATTAACCTTATAACAGCATTCGTGAAGCAAGTATAGGCGACCAAGCGGGAACGAGGATCAAACTGCAGAAGTGAACAAGGCATTTACACGGCGCACTAGGAAGAAGCTGCAGGCGTTCAGGCAAGCATACATCTAGCGTGGCGATATGGCGGTGATACCCTATGAATGCATGGTATTGTTGGCTATAACCGAGGCTTGCACTTAAGATGTGAACTAATAAATCTAGTCTATGTCTTGCCGGTCTCGGATCTCAAGCCGTGACCGCAGCCAGATAAACATGCGGTCTGCAGCATTCCCATCAACCGTATTCGACCCGCGCCGCACCGTGCCGCCCCCGGTTTCGACGCTAATACTTTATCCGCTGTATAGGAATCCTTCGATCCTGCATACAGTGGGTCTCTTTTTCGCGGAGACAATACCCCATCTAGCTCAAGCCCAACGGCTTTCACGTCGTCTAGCTTGCTTCGCTCAAGGGTTCATGCCGTGCTTTCGGGATGTTTCGAGAGGCGTGTTGGCTGTGAATGCAACCGAACCGCGGCGAGCGTTGTCCAAGACTTGGCTTGCGCTGCACGAACAAGGTTATTTGGACGCAAAAATTGGGTACCTCTGTCTGGGGATGCAAGTGAACTTCGAGCGGGTGGCAGCTCGGTAATCAAGTGGGTGGCAAGCTCCACTCGTACAGTGGCTACTCTATTCATCGAGGTGTACTTGCAATTGATGTTCCTACACACTCTCGATTCGATACACGGATCCTTATCGCGGCTCGATTCCTGGAATCATGGTTTTCTTATGCGTTGGCGTACTCTTTGTAGCCTCCGCCGCCGCCAGATTCCAGCCTCGTTCTGCGGAACCCCCCATGCGTCTTGCCGATCGCCAGTCAGCCAACGTTGCAAACATCAAACAGATAGCTGATGGAGCGATTCCCCGTTTCGAATGGGAACAGTCATTCTTGACGGATGCGACCCTCGAGGAAGCATTGACCTCGGTATCAGCCGATGCAAGGTCGCTTTTCCAGTTTGCTTCGCACAATATTGCCAGCGACTCCGTCTCTGAGACACAGAGTACTTTCAACGGCCGCGAATGCAAGGTATTCCCTGGCGATGAAGATTGGCCGGCGGACGCGAGCTGGTCGGCGCTCAACGATATCACCAACGGTGCTCTACTGAAGCCTCTCCCCCAAGCACATGTCTGCTACAACACTAGCCTGGCTGGTGCAGACCAGAGCGCTTGCGATGCCATGACCAAGTCGTGGACTGATCCGTTTTCCCAGTATGTAGCCTTTGAAATTTACCTCCACATAGCCATCGACTAACGTATATGAACAGGCTCGACGACCCACTTGAGATGCTAAGTCCGATGTACCAAGGCAGTACATGCCAACCACCTCAGCTCTACGATAATAAGGAGTGCACCCAAGGAGGATACTCTCTCTACGTCGTAAATGCCTCGACTACCGCTCAGATCCAGCTGGCGCTTAACTTCGCGCGGAACACAGGCGTTCGCTTTGTAGTCCGGAATACAGGTCACGATTTTGCGGTAAGTGCTTCATCCATACCCAATCTTCCAATCGCTGATAGCTCTTAGGGCAAGAGCGGTGGTGCTGGCTCTCTTAGTGTATGGACCCACGGATTGAAAGACATTGCATTCATCGAGAACTACGAGTCTGAAGATTACACTGGATCGGCTATGAAGGCTGGCTCAGGTGCGCAAGGCTTTGAGCTTTACGCTGCTGCGAGAGATTTCGGTGGCACAGTCCTTGGCGGTGAATGTCAGTACCTACTATCTCGACATGTCTTGGAATATATACTGACTTTGCTTGTTACATAGGCCCTACCGTTGGCGCAATGGGCGGATGGATCCAAGGTGGCGGCCATTCACCACTATCTGGCCACCTAGGCTTAGGCGCCGACCATGTGCTTTCCATGGAGGTCGTCTTATCAGACGGTCGCTACGTGACTGCTGACAAGAACAACAACCCCGAGCTGTTCTGGTCATTACGCGGTGGTGGCGGTCTGACTTTCGGTGTCGTAACCTCCGTCACCGTCAAGGTACATCCAGACCAACCCATTGCCTCCGCCAACTGGGTTGTCACCACAGGCAAGAACGTCAGCACCAAGGCCTTCAAGCAAGGACTCAAAGCCTACATGAAATACTTCCCACAGAACGCCGATAACAACACTTACGCCTACTGGAAAGTTTTCCCGGGGCCCGATTCCATCATGATGGATATGTCGCCTTTCTTCGCTCCCGGCAAGACGGTCGAAGAAGCCAAAGCCCTGGTCGACCCTTGGGTAAAAGACATGGCCGCACTTGGGATCACTGTCGAGCCCGAATGGACACAATACAACGGCTTCTACGACGCGTACAACGGCTCTTTCCCCGTAGAGGCTGTTAATAGTAATGGTGTAGCCACTACCTCGCGCATGATCCCACGTTCCAACTGGGCCAACGAATCCATCTTCGATGAGACTTTCGAAGCCCTCTGGCAAGCCGTCGACGAAGGTATGGCGCTGATCGGCTACAACATGGCGCCATCATGGGAGAAAGGCGGACGCCCTGACAACTCTGTCAATCCAGCTTGGAGAGACATGCTCGGTTTCATCATCACCGGAACGGTGCTTAACATGACGAATCCAGCTCCGGAGATTGTCGAGGAGCGCCTCAACATGACCTATGGCGTTATGCAGAAATGGCGCGATCTCACACCCGGTTCCGGTTCGTATCTCTCCGAGGGAGATCGCCTTGAGCCGAATTTTCAGTGGTCGTTCTGGGGCAGCTTCTACCCGCGTCTCTTGGAGGCGAAGCGCAAGTATGATCCGTTCAATCTCTTCTGGGCTACTGGGGCAGTGGGCAGTGAGTTCTTCAATGTGCGTAGCGTTGACGGTCTGCCGAACGAGAATGGAAGGCTTTGCGTCAACCCACAACCCACGCTCTACCAGGCTGAGGGTCCAGACTGGGTTCCAGAGTAGATGGATGTTGTTGTGACAATCGAATGTATATAGATCTCGGAAATGGAAGTGGCCGGAAATGCAAGACCTGATAGGCACAACGCAAAAGTCCATAGTCTATTGATCTTGATCGTGCCGCAACGCGCCGCGGTTTTTCCATGTTCATAGCAACATATTGGGTTCTGTATGCTTCGTAGAAACGAGGGCGCAACTTCTTCGCAGGCCTAGCGCAGGAGCTGCGTACTCTGATTGGGCGGGCTTGACAGTGATGACGTCCGCCACCTTCCCCATCCACACCGATAACGGTGAGCGTATTCGAACCACTCTACTTTGCTCCATCGATATGTGCAGAGTATAGCTTTGACAAATTTTTCGCTCAGAACTTCTCGATGGTAACAGTAAACTAAGGCTAATCTATACTGTCTTGTCTCGGAGCAATCCCCGGCAAAGCGATGCTTCACCAGAGGACACCGATCCTTCTGAATGCCATACAATTGTCTTTGTTGCATCGCTTAGAGATCGTTATAGGCTCACCTTTTTTCAGCCTAGAGCTATTCTCTTCATCAATTGGTATACATTTCCATGAAGTCCATCAACATTGACTGCTAGCATAACTTCTAAATCTCTGTACTACTGTTACTACTACTGCGTCTATTCCAGCCCGTTCTGACCCCGATATTTGAGTATGTGCAGAGGCGAGTGCGAGTGATGGACATGTGTGTTATACGCTACCGTGGGAAAATAAGAGATCCCTAGTGGGGAAAGGGCGCCTTAGCACAACAAGTAGAATGCTGCTGAGCATGATGGGTCTAATTTTGGTGATGTGCGGAAACAAGAGGACGAAAGAATCAATCCAGTCAAAGTAAACGAGAGTAAGGACTGTCGCATCGGAAAGCTCTCCAGATCGAAAACAGATTACTCGCTACTATTCAAGACGTCATGGATGAACACATCCTGATACCTTGTATTCCAAAATGGCTCGCGGACTCCTGACATAGGACACATTGAAGGCTTTGCTTTTTTTCTTGGCAACGAAGTAGATTACTAGCGCCGATGAGGTGCAAGGTATCGTCTTGATAATGATGGTCTACATTAAGAGCATCGTCTCTTGTACTGTCTAGGTATCATATGCACATGCCACGTCAACCTCGTCCAGGGCCAGTAAATGCTTCTCCCATAACTACATAACCTTCCTGTTGTTTCCATCCGACCCCAACTCCAAAATCAGACCATTCAAGTTCAAGCGTTGAATATTTCCGTTGTGTATGTCGCGGCGTCTTGCTTGGCATCATCATTCATGAACAGCCGAGGGGCTGCACTCAGAAGCTTGGGTTGCCGTTGATCTTGAGACCGCTCATACCGTTGGCAATGCCTTCAGCATCGAGTCCATTCGTCATGCCACTTTGGTAGTCGCGAGTGATCTCGTCGAGCATACCAGCACTAGCAGCGACGAAACCCAAGTAGGGTCTGCTCGGGTCCAGGACGCGGGACAGGTATTCCGGGTGGAACTGGACACCAACGAACCAGGGATGGTCCTTGATCTCAATAACCTCCATACGTACACCAGCTTCATCTTTGCCGACAAAGCTCAGACCGCCCTTCTCGAGCGTCTCAATATAGTCAGGGTTGACCTCATATCGGTGACGGTGGCGCTCTAGGATCTCCTCCTTGCCGGCGTACAAAGCGCGGAGACGAGACCACTCGCTGCCTGGCTGGAAGAGTGTGGGACGGAGACCGAGACGCATGGATGCGCCCATAGTGCTCTTGTCTACCTCTGGCATGAACATGATGAGCTTGTTCTGCGCCTCACCGTTGAACTCCTCGGAGGTTGCGTCCTTGATGCCGCAAACGTTACGAGCGTACTCAATAACGGCAATCTGCATGCCGAGGCAGATACCAAGGTACGGCTTCTTATGCTCACGCGCCCAGGTGGCCGCTGAAATCATACCTTCTGTGGCACGTTGACCGAAGCCACCCGGTACCAGGATACCCGATGCCTTGACGACCTCGTGCCAAGCGTTGTGGTACTTTGCGGGGTCTGTCTTCTGACACTTGGGCTCCAGAT